GGTCAAAGGAACAGGAACGTGAGCTGTAATGAAGCTCTCTGGCCCCTGATCCGCTCGGTTTGCACAGCACTGTTTTCACAAGCTAAGACTTCACAGAAAATGACTTCTAGAACCTTCCCTAAGGTTAAATATCATGAGATATTTAAATTATCTTTAAATGATTTCTCAACACAGATAATTGAGGTGTACAGCTACAATCAAGGCATAAGATTTTATCTAAAATTTCCCCAAATGTGTGTGTTCACTACACATTAATTATCTCCAGAATTCATTTCCTGGACAGATTTACCTATTTCATACTAAAACCAAGAAACCCAAATCAATGCCATCCAGTTGACTCCTACTCATAACAACACTAGAAAAGGTTCCAAGACAATAAACATTTATGGGAACAGACAACCTCATCAAACAGACAGCCAGCAGCTGGCGGGTTTGAACCCACAACCTTGGCTGAGTTTCACAGCACCAGCAAGACTCCTTTATGTCCACGCTATAGCCCATGGTGAACACACCTTAAATCATTTCACCCTCTGGCCAGTGTCCTGGGACATTGTTCTTTCTAAGTGAAGGTAAACTCAAGAGCAAAACTACCTGCAGCTGACAAAAGCTAAGGGAAACAAAGTGTGCCATTCTTGCCTGACATGTGCCCGTCCATTTGAAAGAGGCATCTTTGACTGCAGATTTGATCACCAATAAATATGGGCTGACTCATTCTTTGTCAGCTGCAAAGGAAACTCAGGTCCTAGGATGAAGGGTGGGGTATTGTGTAGGCTTGCTTTTCCATTACCCTAAGATGCTGCCGCGAAGGAACCAACTCCAGTGAGCCCTGTGTGGCTGTGAGGTGTGAGTCCTGACCACATGTGGCCCTTGGCAGTCCACGCTTGATGGAACCTGAGGAGAGTTTGACTGTGTATATTCTAGGATCCTACTAGGCACATTTTGCTAAAGGTAATACAGAAACGTTCTGCTGTGTATGGGGTCACTATGAGTCAGTTCCAACTTGATGACACCTGACAACAACAACAATAACACTAGGCACATCGCCTAGGCTAATGCCAGAGCAACCTAGGGGCCAGTTCCCAGTCTCAGGTAATGCGACACGTGAAGACGATGCTGCAGCCCCTGACTCTGATGCACCCACAGCACCTGGGACCCCCAGACCTAAAGGACAGAGAGGAAAATGGCCATGTGCTCTGTGAAGAGGGAGAGCAGGTCCATCCCATTCAGACTGCTCTTGAAGGAGTAAGGAGACACTTAACAAAAAGAAAATGCAAAATAGATAATATCTTAGAAGTGAAAAATCAGAAATAAGGAAGCCATTTAAAAGCCAGGTGAAGCTACTCAATCACCTCATTTTAGAATCATATAGAATAACAAAGGTGCCCCAAGGACGATCAGCTGTCCACTTGAGTTAACTTCGATGTATATGTGCATGTTGTTGTTGCTAAGTGCCCTCAAGTCAAGTTGGTTCCGGCCTATAGAGACCCTGTTTAGGGTTTCTGAGGAGCGATTGGTGAGCTTGAATCGTTGACCTTGCAGTTCAAACCGAATGTGCAGTCCAGTGCATTAACCCACAGCTCACACCAGGATTCAATAGGTGTACAGTGTGAGTATGTATGCGTGTCAGGGTGTACATGTATGTGTCTGTGTGTATGAATAAGTTTGACAGTATGTGAGCGTGTGAGTATGGGTGTGTGAATATGTGTGTTTGTGCAAACCTGTGAGTGTGAGTATGTGTGTCTGTGTGAACGTGGGTGGAAACCGTGTGTGTTTCAGTGTGCATGAGTATGTATGAGTATGTGTGCATGTGTTAGCATGTGAGTGTGAACATTGATTGGGAGAGAGGAAGACCCTCAACGAGATGGACTGACCCAGTGGCTGCAGCTATGCGCTCACACAAGGCAACAACTGTGAGGACGGCGCAGGGTCCGCCCATGCTTCCTTCGGTTGTGCACGGGGCCACTGAGTCAGAACGGAATCGACAGCATCCTACCAACAACTATGAAGTAAATTGAATTTTTATACTTATATTGGTTTTATGACGTCCTGGTGTGGTGCTGTGAGCTAATGCGTCAGACTGCAAGATCGTTTGAACCGCAAGGTCAGTGGTTCAAGTTCACCAGCTACTCCTTGGAAACCCTATACAGGGTCACTATACGTCAGAATCGACTCGACGGCACTTAACAACAACAACAATCGGTTTTCTACAACAACAAAAATCATCCTTTCTTACTAGTCCATCTCCTACATCACATTATTTTCTTTGGGGGCCGAGTGTTCCAATGGAATCGGTTTCCAGTCCTGGAGGGCCACTCACTGACATGCCCAGCACTGGCCAGGCACTTCGTCATGGGGCTCTGGTCCCTCAGGCCACTGCAGGTGAGCTCGGGAGACTCCAGAGGAGCAGTGTGTGGTTGTGAAGTGCCATCAAGTCGGTTCTGACTCGTAGCAATCCTGTATAGAGTTTCCAGGAACAGCTGGTAGATTTAAACTGTCAACCATGAGGTCAGCAATCCAGTGCTGGTTCTATAAAGACTGTTGTTGTCGTTGTTGAAGGCCATTGAGTCCGATCTGACTAATAGTAACAGCCCTGTATAGGGTTTTCAAGGAGTGGCTGGTGGGTTTGAACTGCCGACCTTACAGTTAGCAGTCCAACAGTGATCCTATAGAGCCACCTCAGCAGGGAGATGGACCACATGGGGCTCTGACTTCTGGGCCTGGGTGGGTCCAGTGACTAGCTGTCTCCACTGCTCAGCTCAGGGCTACCCTGGTACCACCATGGACCACACTTGGGGAGTTCTGTGAATTTGCTTTAACACCTGTGAACATCCTGGCTCTGGATCCAGATATCATACTTTATTACTGCTGCTGCTGTATCAGTCCCTAACGACTCATAGGGACCCTATATAGGCTTGCTGAGGATCAGCTGGTGGGATTGAACTACTGACCTTGAGGTCTGCAGTCTATTGCTTATCTGCATTACCACACCAGGACTATCATTGGCTAAATAAAACACCTTTCTCACTGCACCTTGTACGACCAGTTGCTGAGTGAGGAGTGACCAAAAGGACAGACAACACATGTGTTTCTACCTGAATGTAGCCCAAGAGCTAAGATCTGGTAGTGAAGCCCTCTGTACTCCGCCCCTCCTCGCACCCTGCCCTGGCCCATGCTGGACTGTATCTCAGGAACAGGCAACGACTCCAACAGTGAGGGTGGGAGGGCGCTGAGGGTACTCTTATGGCGAGCAGAAGCAAAGGAGCTACCACCTAGCTGTCAGGAATGAAAAGATGCCCGTCTTCAGACTTGAGCAGATTGAGGATTGAGAAGATGGCACAAGAACAGGCAGTGCCAAGCACTGCTCTGTTTGTGGAAAGGCCATGAGTAGGAACAAGTGTCTTAAAGTGCTTTTCGTCTGAACAAACCATGACAGAAAAACTCTCAATGATGTACAGCTATTGCTTGTGAGCAAAGCAACAGATTCAGAAGAGGTCTGTGCACAGATGGACAGGGTAGTGGTCCCTCCCTGAGTGAAGCCCAGGGCTCCAGACTGCTGTCTTATTTCCCTGGGCTGAATCCAAGTTGCCCCGATCACGGTGCACTCGGGGTTCAGAGAGCTGAGAGCTTTCTTTGTAATGGCACCAGGAAGAACTCCCATGTCTAAAGAATGTGACAGTGTTCTGACGGTCACATCTAAGGAGAACTCGGATCCTTCACCCAGAGTGATCACATCTCATCTAAGAAGGGACTTGAATCCTTCACCCAGAGTGGTCACATCTCATCTGAAGGAGGACTCGGATCCTTCACCCAGAGTGGTCACATCTCATCTGAAGGAGGACTCGGATCCTTCACCCAGAGTGGTCACATCTCATCTGAAGGAGGGTCTTGGCTCCACTAGCCCAGTGCTATTGATCTACTCACCCCGTGTTATTCTACATCACCTGAAGAAGAGACTCAGATCTGTTCACCTACCTTTACTTCTCGCCTAAAAAACCCACTGTCACTAAGAGGATTTCACTTCATAGTGACCCGATAGGACAGGCTAGAATCACTCCTTAACATTTCTAAGATTACATTTTTACAGAGGCAGCCTGCCTCATCTGTTTGCCATGAAGTGGCTGGTGGGTTTGAACTGCCAATCTTTTGGTTAGCAGCCCTTCTTCCCCACTGTGCTACTAGGAGTCTTGCATCATCTAAAGGGGGCTCAGACCCATTCACCATGTACCATACTGCATCCTCAAACGCAGAGTGAACTGACTAAAAGCCAGGTTCAGTGCAGGGCGGGGACAATGTCTTCTTCCCAGGTTTTGGTGTGGTGCTGGAACGTGTGTCTGTTTTACTGGCGATGACTGTTAGAGCTAACAGGTAAACAGTACAGAAATGGTCTCAAAGGTGTTTTTAGTCTGTGTGGTCTTTCTTCCAAGATAATAAGAAAAGAAAGCAAGTCCCTTTCTGAAAAGAGCTCTATTTGTGTTTGAAACACCAGTGTATTTTGCTGAGAATCAAACCCCTCATTAACGTGGGAGGCATTTCAACAGTTTGCTTTAAGCCTGCTGGTTAACTCTAAATCTGATTCTTAAATCAGGAAAGCAAAACATGACAAGTATAAAGTCAGTCCCCCAACCATCACTGACCCAGCCAGGTAGGGTTGTACACATGCCATCTGCTACCAAGAGAGCGTGAAAGAGTAGCGAGAGTCAGAATCTTAGCATAATTATAGCTTCTGAAGATTTGGGGTGGGAAAATGTGTGAGGCTGGATAAATCTGTTTCATGGTGGCATCGTGCCTTCTAAGCAAAGCATACACAAGAATGCATGATCTGCTCTTGGAATTCATGAAAATTTACTCCACTTCCTACATGCTCTGAAAAATACCCACAACTGTACACCTCCCGAGTTTTTAAATACAAAAAGTTAGCAAAAATAAAAGTAAGATACACAGATGTTGATTTTAACGATGAGTCTACCCATCTTTGAACGAATAATCAGAGAAAGACTTACCTTTGCAGTTTCCTCGGTATGCGATCTCTAGCTGGGGGTCCTTACACTTGGCACGTTGAAACTCGCAGCGAGACAAGAAGGTTCTTCCGTCAGAAGCGCAGAGAGGTTTTTGAGGAGAGCCCGCACAGTCCAAGCTACAATTCTTGTCTTTATCTTGGTCAACTCTCAAAAACTTGTGGGGGGAAAAAAGCAGACAAATGTAAAGAAATGTTCTCTATGACATCTAAAAATATAGGCCACTAAGTGGCGGGGAATGAAAAATGGCACTGTGACATTTTTATCACTGCCAGAAACCTGGGAATCTCAGCAAATTCCATCCATCTGCTATGACAGTCTCAATGATTCCCTGTTGGTTGGTGTTTGATGGCAGAACCTCATAATTCTATAGACAGCATGGCATGAAATGCTGATTATCTTGGCCTGGAACACACCCATATTCCAGGGTGCAACACAGCTGACTTTTTCCTCTTCATTTGTGATTCATTTTGAAAGTGACAAGGGTCAGGAATGCCCACTGATGGTTTGGAATTGCTGTGAGCTCTTTCCAAATTGACATGGCTGCTGCAATTCCATCTAAGTTCTAGGAAGCCTCCCCCCACCCCACCCCCACCCAGGAATCAGGCACATTTATTTGAACTCAAGCATCACGTTTTGAACAAATGTTGATTGAGGAAAGGAACTGCCTATGCTCAAGAAGAGACTTGTCAACTGCAATGAAAAAGCCTCAATATGCAGCATATCCATCATACTGCAGCATAAAGAGATGGTGCACTGGCCACACGGGCAGCCACGAGTCTCAGATACAGCTACAAGTAAGAAGCCCATAGAGGTCACCATGCTAGTGGTCATTTAGCACATGGAGATTGCTGTGTGGTTGACCATTCCCGGGTCACCTGTCCTTGTTTTTGCTACTGTATGTTCCTGACACACAGACTCAGGGATAGCAGCATCCCAGTGGTGTGTCTCAGGTTCTGACCCTGCCTGTCCCCACAGCCTGGGTTACTGACTGCTTACTGACTTTCATGCAGCATGTCAAGAGCCAGATCCTGTCTAGCCCTATGACAGGAAGGACAAAACATCTGACAGGAAGCTGATGATACCTGGGAAGGACTGCAGGTGGGGCTCAGATCACCTCACCTCCCAGAGCCCTGGAAGGAGGTGGTAAGCAGATTGTGGTCAAGAAGGTATGGTTATCACGTGACATCGTGGCAGTCACAATGGCTCACTCACTCAGCAGCTCTGGACAAAGGCCTGGGCCACATGACTTGTGGTCCAGCAGGTGACTGAGCATACTCCTCAGCTCTTGGAACTCCCTAACAAAAATAATCAGTATGTTTCTAACGTTTGCAATCTCAAACACCACGCTCCAAATTTCCTTGAGACCAAATTCACCTGCCATGATGAGACAGGGATATTTTAGCCAATATACAAATGAAAATGCAATTAGTGCCCTTTTCGTGTTTTGTAAAAACACGTACTTATGTTTGAAAATGGACAAAGTACATCCATTGTGTGACTTTGGGCATTGGGGGGCTTCCACTCCCAGCTTTTTCTTTGCCTGACATGTATTTTCACACTCTATTGGCTGAAAGCATCCAACCTGTGGTATTTCCCCAGAAACATACCTAGCCTGAGTCAGCAGGTGTGAGAGGCACGTTCAGGACCTTCGGGGTACTGTGCCTCAGAAGGGGTGGAACCTGGGGGCCATCCACCCACAGAGATGCTGTGTAGGTTTTTCAGAACCTTTCATACTGACTGCTTCCTGACTCTCGGGAAGTCCTTGAAAACTTGATAGAAGTGTTCTCCCAACCTAGTGTTGGGTCAGAACAGTTTAGCCCAAGATGGGTCTATGGATAAGCATAGTTGTGTCCAGGCCCAACTATGGATACCAATGATAAATGACAAACTATGGGCAACCAAAGGAGCTCTGGCAGTGTAGTGGTTATGAGTTGGGCTGCTAACTCCAAGGTCAGCTGTTTGAAACTACCCATTTTTTTGCATGAGAAAAATGAGGCTTGCTGCCCCTGTAGAGATTTACAGCCTCGGAATCCCTATGTCACTATGAGTAGGATTTGACTTTACAGCACACTGCTGCCGCCACCACCATGGTTAACCAACAATGGATAACTGACTATGGGGTAACACAGTGAAGAATGGGAAAGGTGCGTGCCAGGCTTGGACCCTTTCATTGTACTTATTTGATCTGTATGCTGAGCAAATGATCCGAGAAGCTGGACTATATAAAGAAGAATATGAAAACAGGATCTGAGGAAGACTCACTAACAACCTGCAATAGGCAGACACACAACCTTGCATTCTGGAAGCGAAGGACTTGAAGCCTTTACTGATAAAGATCAAAGACTACAGTCTTCAGTACGTAGTATTACAACTCACTATAAAAGAACAAAACTCCTCACAAATGGACAGAGAAACAACATCACGATAAACGCAGAAAAGATCGACATTGTCAAGGATTTCATTCTACTTGGATCCACAATCCATGCTCACGGAAACATCAGTCAAGAAATCAAAAGACCTACTGCAGTGGGCAAATCTGCTGCAAAAGTCCTCCTTAAAATGTTAACATGCAAAGCTATTACTTTGAGGACTAAGAGGTGCCTGACCCAAGCCAGGGTATTTTCCTTCATTTCATATGCATATGCGAGCTGGACAATGAATACAGGCAGACCAGAGAACTGTTGTATTTGAACCGTGGTGTTGCTGAAGACTATTGAAACTACCATGGACTGTCTCAGAAGAAGACAGCCAGACGCTCCTTTAGAAACCAAGATGGCAAGACTTTGCCTCATGTCTTTTGGACATGTTGTCAGGAGGGACCAGTTCCTGGAAAAGGACATCATGCTTGATAAAATAGAGAGTCAGTAGGAAGGTGGAAGACCCTCCCCAAGGTGGACGATACAGCAGCTGCCAACAGTGGGCTCAAACCAACAACTGTGAGGGAGGCACAGCACTGGGCAGGGCTTCGTTCTATTGTGTCCAGGGTCACTATCAGCTGGAGCTGACCTGACAGCACCTAAAAGCAATAAGGGGAAGAGAGGGGAGAACACCAGCCAGCGGTTCATCCTGATCATATGGAATGTTCAGGAGATGCTTTGAGAACTCCAGTTTCAAGCAGGAGCCCACAGCTTTCTAGGGGACTCAAGCTGATGGTGAGCCCATGTGTGTGAGAGGAGAGCTGTACTCCATCAGGGTTTCAGGAGCCCACCAGTCCTTTCTCTCAAGGTCACTCTCAGCAGACTCAAACGTACAGCCTATGGGTCAGTTGCTAAGCACACCAGTCACTGTGTCCCCTCGGGACTCTGCCCTGTAACCTGGCTCCCTTGTATTTTAGACAGAAAGATGGAATAACCTAAAATCCTGTTCATTTTTCCATTTAAGCCAGGGTCTATGTGCAGTGCCTGAACCCTAAGTCAGGCAAACCTTCAGGTTGGGCCCTACAATTATCACCTTCTCTAAACAGAGAGAGGCAGGTTCTGTATCTTCCCTTAAAAAAGAGCGTGTGTGCTCAGTTATCTGGAATGTAGCGCTAAACTTGGGTAATTCGATGGCTGAGAATGGATAATGGTGGCATGCTTTCTCAAGAACCAAAGAGCAGGTACTTCATGCCTAGACACCCCTCCCCTACGCCCATGCCCCTGTTTAATAGTAATGAATCCAGAGGGACATGGTCATTTCAGGGAGGGAAAGACGGTAATAATTGTGCTGTTTTCTCTGAGAAGTAGAGCCCATTAAAGAAAACAACAGGACCCCTGGTGGTGCTATGGTTTGCACTGCTAACTACAAGGTCAGCAGTTCAAATCCACCCGCCACTCAGAGGGAGGATGAGGAGGCTGTCTGCTCCGGTAAAGTGTTCCAGTCTGGGAACCTCAACGGGGCAGTTCTCCTTGGGCCTGTAGACTCACTCTGAGGAGAAATGTGGGAGTGGGAGGGTTTGGGCTATGGCTGTCATGGTGGGCACACGGCATTGTCACACTAACTAGACCTTGTTGTTGTTGTTAGGTGCCATCGAGTTGGTACCGACTCATAGTGACCTTATGCACAACAGAATGAAACGCACTGCACGATCCTGGGCCAACCTCACTACTGTTGCCACATTTGAGTCCATCTTGGCTAATTCATCTCGTTGGGGGTCTTCCTCTTTTTCCTGACCCTCCACCTTACTAAATATGACATCCTTCTCCAGTGACTGGTTCCTCCCGATAATATGTCTGAAGCATGAGAGACGAAGTTTGGCCATCTTGGCCTCCAAGGAGCACTCTGGCTACACTTCTTCCAAAACATATATATTGGTTCTTTTGGCAGTCCATGGCACTTTCAGTATTCTCCTCCAACATCATAACACAAAGGCATCAGTTCTTCTATAGTCTTCCTTATTCACTGTCCAGCTTTCACATACATATGAGGTTATTGAAAATACCATGGCTTGGGTCAGGTGCACCTTAGTCCTCAAGCTGACTTCTTTGCTCTTCAACACTTTAAAAAGTTCCTGTGCAGCAGATGTGACTAATGTAATACATTGTCTGATTTCTAGACCTGCTGCCCTGCAATCCATTCTGACCCACAGTGACCCTGCCAGACAGAGGAGAACTGCCCATCGGATGACTGAGGATGGGAATCTACAGAGGCAGACAGCTTCAAAACCATGTCACTGTTAGCACCTTGTGGCTCCAAGTAGATTCAAACTCACGTCGTCTCTGTGTGACAAAGCAGGGTGGACCCAGTGGGCTCTCCTGGCTGTCCCCATTACAGGAAGGAGCACTAGTGTTGCAGTGGATTAAGCATTAGACTGCTAAAGGCAAGGTTGGCAGTTCAACCCCACTAGTGGTTCCTTGGGAGAAAAGATGAGGCGCTTTGCTTCTGTAAAAGTTTCCAGTCTGGGAAGCCCTCAGGGGTGGTTAGGCTGTATCCTACAGGGTCACTATGAGGCACAAACAACCTGGACAACCATGGGTTTACTGCTGATTTCGTGTTGTTTTTTTTTTAAAAAAGAAACGATTCCTGTTCTAAAGCGCTCACTATTTGCTAAAGAGGCTTGGCTAAGGGTCTTCAGAGTAGTTCAAGATAAAATTGGCATTTTGTCAAATTTCAGAAGAAATTAATGGGCCCTTGAGGGATTTTGTTTAAAAAGCACCTCAAAGTGAGAGGGGTTTTCCATTTCTTTTATCTTCCTAAAGCAGTTCTGTCTGCAGGGTGTGCGATCTCACCTTGTGAGAAACCTGCAGGAAGCAGGAAGTGCCTTCGTTAGACACTGAGAAAACCTCACCTTACAAAGTACTACAATGGGATGCTAAGGGATAAGCACTGGAGTGCCAACCACAAGGTCGGAGGTTCAATCCCTCCAGCCGCTCCTTGGAAAGCCTGCATAGTCGCTATGAGTCAGAACCGACTCCATGACACTTCACAACAACAATACTAGGAGCAGGGTGGCTCCGGGTAGAATTCTCCACTTTCACATGGAAGACTGGAGTTCGATTCCTGGCAAGCGCACCTTCAGTTCAGCCACTGCCTGCCTGTCAGTGGAGACGTGCACGTTGCTATGATGCTAAACAGGTTCTGGTGAAGCTTACAGACTAGGACAGATGGGAGAAAGGTCTAGAAATCTACTTCCAAAAATCAGCCAATGAAAACCTGATGGATCCCCAGGTCTTCACTGTCAGCTGATGTCGGGGACGCTGGGGAGCCTGCCAGCGTTTCATTCCGCTGTGCACCTCATGGCAGCTACAGCAGGCCTAATAAACCACACAGGTGATCCGAGCTGCCATTAATGTGTACGTGGGTTTGAGCCAGAAGGAAAGCTGGAACAAGACCAAATGTTTAAGAAACAGGTTCAAACATTCTCTCAATCTGAACGTGGATGAGCGTTCACACCACAATAGCAGCTTGCAGCCTGTGTATTTTACTGGGGAGATTGTGTTGTAGGAAACTCTGAAGAAAAACCACCTCGGAAGCAGAGAAACCCAGAGCTGGAAGAGTCACAAAAACTCAAACTTACCCTGCAGCGCAGCCCTGACATGCAATGGGCGCATACCAGAAGGAGGTGAAACTGGGGTGCAGACCTAACTGGGAGATGCACCCAGAGAAAGACTCTGGAACAAGGGGGCAGGCAGAGAGTTACAAACGCATGGACGTTTCCCCATTTCACTGCCGGAAGCTGCTCGGGGTTCAGAAAAGACTGCTTTGTCACTGGAACCCAACTGGGAACAAACGTCCTCAGTGTAAAGATGGGGATGGCTCTGTAGCGCCCACGGCCAAGGTGTGAAGGTAAAATACTGTTCGCAGCAGCGTGATTCTCCAGTGCATTCGTTTGTTCTGTCACATGTTCAGTTTACGCCGCTCTGTGGGCACGTCGAGAAACATCTTAGCTCATTAGGAAATAGTTCCTCAAGGGCCATTGTTGTCCTTACCTCTTTTCCACACTCCTTAAGGGTAGTCTCATCTTTCTAAGTTAGCTCTGCAGACAGGTCCAGCCTGAGCCGAGGCATCAACTATGGTTGTGACTGGTCTTTGTGAGGGGTGGGACCAGACCCCAGCAGAGTGAAGATGCAAGATAACTAAACCCAGGACCTGGAGGAGTGGAAGGGGTACATGTGCCAAGGTGAGTTAGGCACTGGGCTACTAACCGAAAGGCCTGGGCTCAAACCCACCAGGTGCTCTTCAGAGAAAGATGAGACTGTCTGCTCTGTAGAGATTTAGAAACTCAAGGAGCATGTGCTGCTGTACGATCAGCACTGGACTGCTAACTACAAGGTCGGCAGTTCAAACCCACTAGTCTCTCCTTCCTTATTCACTGTCCAGCTTTCACATCCATATGAGGTTATTGAAAATACCATGGCCTGGGTCAGGTGCATCTTAGTCCTCAAGCTGACATCTCTGTTCTTCAATACTTTAAAAAGTTCCTGTGCAGCAGATTTGCCTTTGAGAATTGATGCCTTTGAGTTGTGGTGTTGGAGGAGAATACTGAAAGTGCCATGGACTGCCAAAAGAACCAATAGATCTGTTTTGGAAGAAGTGCAGCCAGAGTGCTCCTTGGAGGCCAGAATGGCTAAGCTTTGCCTCTCATACTTTGGATATACTATCAAGAGGGAACAGTCGCTGGAGAAGGATGTCATGCTGGATAAGATGGAGGGTCAGAGAAAAAGAGGAAGACCCCCAACGAGATGGATTGGCCAGGTGGCATCATTGATGGACTCAAGTGTGGCAGCGGTAGTGAGGTTGGCCCAGGATCCGACATGGTTTCGTTCTGCTGTGCATGGGGTCGCTATGAGTCGGTTCTGACTCGATGGCACCTGACAACAACAACAACAGTCTCTCCTTGGAAACCCTACACAGGATCGCAATGAGTCGTAACTGACTCCACAGCACTTAACAACAACAAAAGAGGGCTACCCCTCTGTCCTGTGGGGTCACAATGAATGGGGATCGACCCAACGGCAGTGGGCTTCTGGGTGAACTGAGTCACAGTGCTGGTAGCGCAGAGATTAAGCACTTGTTGACTAGCAAAAAGGCTGTCGTTTGAACCCACCAGTGATTCCAGAGCAGATAAGGGTTAGCAGCCTGCTGTGGTAAAGATGACAGCAGAAACTCAGTGGCAGCTCGACTGTCCTCGGGGTCACAATGCGTCAGAATCAGCTGGACAGCCACAAGAGCAAGAGCTGTCAGGGAACACCAGTGGGAGTCTGGCTGTCACTCAGATGTACCGAGCACATGCAGTCTGGAGGGTGCTGGCTCTCAGGCTGCAGACTGGAAGGCAAGGTTGGATCTCCCTGGGAGGCTCCATTCCCTGAGCTGGGAGCCTCGGCAGCAGCTCTGGAATCAGTGGGAATACATAGGCTCCACACACGTGGATGGTTCAAATAAATAAATCAAGGGCTGGATTTGTAAAGCCACTGTGACCACAGCCCAGGGCCCACCACACTCAGGGGTATCCATGGCGAAGATGGTGAGGTGACCTCTCACAGATGCTCCCAAACTGTTATCTAAACGAAGACTTGGCACGGCAGCTGGTCTGAGCATCACTCAGTGCGCCATGGACCCTCCTCACCTCCACCGTCTCATTCTTCTGCCTTTTTCCTAAATTGACCAGCACCGGCCTTAATGTGGAAACAAAGGGCTGGGCCGCCACCAGGCTCCCTGTGATATGAAGACTGCTCTGTGGAGTCATCATGGCCTGGGCTCTGGGGAAATGGACAGAGTCCTGATGTAGGGGATGAAAACTGGCTGTAACCCGGGTCCCCTCATTTATAACATGGCGGCGACAGTTATAATGCCCGTTTCACTGGATTATCGTGAGGTTAAAATGAGATGGCATGTGAGAAATGGTTAGAAAAATATGCGGATGTTGTGTGCTATAAGCCTTCTGAGCAGAGATCCCCATTTCTCAAAATCCAAATAGATGGGTTCATTTCAAGTTGGAACTGAACTCCTCCCAACTCAACTTTCAGCCAAACAATAGACAGGCCTATGAGGTGAACAGTAACAAGAGAAAGGTATTCACTTCTTAGAATGATCATCCGAATGAGATCAAAGGGTCACCTGTGCCCAGAGAGAGCTCTCAGCAGACAGGAAATGAGGTCAATAGGAAAAGGTGAACCCAGGGAGGAAGTGGGAGGAAGCTGGTACAGTGAGGGGACCTCAGTCAGTGACATGGAACAAAATGGGTATAAACTGGGGCACAGAAAACCAAATTCCTCAGTAAACTTCCATCCACCTCATAATAAAAACCAGGAAACAATTACAAGGAGACATTCCTTAGCATTCCTGCAAGTTCCCACTCCACTGTCGGAGTGCTTGGTGAACCTTCTGTTTGTGGTGATTTTCAAAGAGCGCAGAACTGGAAGTTTGGAATTAAAAAGAAAGCAAATTTAGGTGGTCGAGAAGCGATATCAGGTTTTTATAGAAAAACAGATGCAGACATAGAGGTGGGGTCTGAGAGGGCAGGAAGGCCTGGCCAGGTGGGGTGACCCATGGGGCTGGGTGTGGACGGGCGTGGTGGGCAGCACCCCTGCACATCAGGCCATAGGACGATGCCTACCTGGCATGGAGCTCTGATAGCATAGTGGTTACGAGTTGGGCTGCTAACCTCAAGGTCAACAGTTTGAAACTACCAGCTGTTCTGCTGGAGAAAGATGAGGCTTTCTGTTGCCATAAAGGTTTGCAGCCTTGGAAACCCTATGCAAGGCCTTCGAGGAGGAGGAGGAGGAAGTAACCAAGAGAAACCCAGTTCTTACAGAAACCTGCATGGGTAGCTGTCCCTGAGTGTTCTGGAGACAAAGGACAGACACACGGCTTGTAGGGCACATCTGGGTCCATTAGCTCTCCCCTCCCCCCACACCAGCATTTTTCTGCTCTGAACTCCCCTTCCCTGGCTCTATCTCAGCAACTGTTTCTGTGCTGAAAATGCATCTTTTTGCTCTTTTTAGGAACTTCTTGTGATCCTTGAAGAACTTCTTTGGAGTACTAACTTTTCCAGATGTGTATTTGTGTGAGATTCAGTGGGAATCTCAGTATTCTAGAACTATATCATGTGTGTGTGTTGGGGGAAGTAACTTTAATTCATTAATTTCTTTGGCCATAAAAATGACTGTTTGGGGAGTGGGAGGAAAGAGGGAGAGAGTCATTCTTTGGAAGGAGTGAAGTTTTGTTTATGGTGATGCGAAAATTGGTACCAACATGTGCTGTGAAAATGAGCCCTGGTGTTAGAGTGGCTTATACATTGGGCTGCTAACTACAAGGTCAGCAGTTCAAATTCCCCAGCCACTCCAAGAAAGGAAAATGAAGCTTGCCGCTCCGGTAAGGATTTACAGTAGCAGAAATACTGCACAAGGGCGCTAAGTTGGAACCAAGTGGATGGTACACAGGAGCAGCAGGACTGTCAAAGGAGTCCTCGGGGTGTGGTGGTTAAGTGCTGGGTTACTAACCGAGAGGTCAGTTCAAACCCACCTGCTTCTATTCTCTGAAGATTTACAGCCTCGAGCACCCTGCGGGGCAGCTCACTCTATCCTAGTCATCCCTTTCCCAACTGAGTGAGTGAGCCAACAGCAGCCATGCTCTCCCCCACATCAAGGTTCTCCTTTTCTCCATCCCCACCTCCATCTCTATCATCTCCATCCCCATCATCTCCTCTCCATCTCTATCACTATCATCTCCATCTCCATCATCTCCGTCTCCATCATCTCCATCCCCAGCTCCATCTCTATCATCTCCATCTCCATCATCTCCTCTCCATCTCCATCTCCATCATCTCCTCTCCATCTCCATCTCTATCATCTCCATCTCCATCATCTCCATCCCCAGCTCCATCTCTATCATCTCCATCTCCATCATCTCCTTTCCATCTCCATCTCTATCTCCTCACCTCACTGGGTCATCCTCTTAGTCATCTCTCCTTGATTTTATCTCCTGCTACACTGTCCCCTCCAGCTACCAGGGGCCAAGTACTGTGCCAAAAACATTTATACATGTGTTATCTACTTAAGCCTGCCAACCTTCCTGAATGAACAGAACCATCCACCCCATTTTACAGATGAGAAGATGGAGTCAGACGAAGCCACTCCATCACCCATTGTGACACGGGCAGCCTGACCCTGGCATCCAATCTGTTAGCCAATCGCCCAAAACCATTCTCATTTGCTTAAAGGTACAGGTGGTCCCCCAAGAGGGTCAGATGAAAACTGCATAATGACCTGGTATCAGGAACCATTCCAGACTGAATGGTGTTCCCCCAAAAAATGTGTTGAAGTCCTAACCCCTAGGACCTTGCTTGGAAATAGGATCTTTGAGGATGCCATCAGTTGGTTTAACATGGAGTAGGCTAGCCCTCATCCTACTGAATGGTTCTTTAAGAAAGAAGAGGAAAGACACAAGGAAAGACAGAGTAAGACGAGGCAGACAGACAGTGGAGAGATGGGTGTAAAGCCAAAGACCACCGAGCAGGATCCCCAGGGAGCATCAGCCCTTCCCAAAACCATGGAGCACCTCCTCACAGCTGCAGAAGGCACACCGCACACAGACCCAGGATTTGGACCCCCAGCCTCCAGACGGTGAGAAAATACACATCTGTTCTTACAAACCACCCAATGTGCGGCCCCTTGCTAAGGCTGCCCTGGCAGAAGGATTCAAATATTTAAAAAGCATTTTCATGAAAAATAAAGCATTGAACAATGGAAATGCATGCATACATTTCCATTACCACATGGAAGAAAAGGAAACGTTAGGAGGTACACACATCAGGGGTTCTCTGCGCAATGGCAAGGAACCAAGCCACACCCACTGGGCCCAGTGAAGTCCCACTGACAGCAACTCTGGAGGACACAGCGGATGGCAAGAGGGGTTCCAAGTCTGTAAAACTCTATGGGAGCACACAGCCTCACCCTTTCCTGAGGAGCAGATGGCGGGTTTGAACCCTCAACCTTTCAGTTAGCAGTGTTCTTTGACCACCACACTACCAGGGTTCCTACGAATGAGAAAACAACTACCCTGTAGCCCGAAAGGGGAGCTGTCCGGTCTTCGGCACATTTCTAAGGTCAGGTCTCAAGATTCACACACGAGGTCATGAGGAACTGCCCATGGTCAGTGAGAGGACACAGGTTTACCACAGTCAGTCACCAGTGACAAGATGAATGGAGACATGTGCACATACACAGGTGCCAATCAGTCCTGAAACCAAGGCTCAGCAGTCACAGAACCACCAAAATCCCAGCTGTGGTTCCAGCTACATCGCAGGCACCTGAGGTGCTTGTCCAACGGGACGCTGCAGGGCTCCACCCCCAGGATGCTGTCAGAGCAGATCTAGGAAGGACCCAGGACTGCTCTGGGCCTAACCCACTGCCAGCAAGCCAGTACCAGCTCAAAGTGACCCTACAGGAAGATGAGAACTGCTTTAAAGAAGCAGACTGCCTCATAGTTCTCCTGCAAAGCAGCTAGTGGGCTTGAACCAATGACCTTTTGGTTAGCAGCCCAACACTTAGCCACTGCACATCCAGGACTACTATGCACAAACATAAACCAAACACACTGCCAAAGAGTTGATTTTGACTCACAGAAATGCCATAGAGGGTTCAGAGTGTACGGACCCAAAGGGAAAACCACACACTTCCAACAGCACAACCCTTTGGTCTTTTACTTGAAAATTAGCTCTATTTTTATTAGTACACAGGACTCACGTCACTGCCCTGACTTACAGTAACCTTTTGATCCACAGAATTTTCAGCAGCTGATTTTCAGAAGTAAATCTACAGATCTGTTTTCCTAATCTGACTAAGTCTTGAAGCCTCCACTAACAGGTGGGTTGGGGCTCACTGGACAGGAACCACTCCCAGGTCTCCCTCAAGTTGTTGTTGTTGTTGTTGTTAGGTGCCATTGAGTCAGTACCGACCCATAGTGAACCTATGCATGGCAGAACGAAACACTGCTTGATCCTGGGCCAACTCACTACTGTTGCTACGCTTGAGTCCATCAATGCTGTCACCTGACCAATCCATCTCATTGGGGGTCTTCCTCTTTCTCCCACCCTCCATTTTACCAAACATGATGTCCTTCTCTAGGAACTGGTTTCTCCTAATAGTTATGTCTGAAGTATGAGAGACGGTCTGGCCATCCTGGCATCCAAGGAGCACTCTGACTATACTTCTTGGAACACAGATCTGTTTGTTCTTCTGGCAGCCCATGGTACTTTCAATATTCTCCTCCAACACCATAACTCAAATGCATCAATTCTTCTACAGTCTGCCTTAGTCACGGTCCAACTTTCACATGCATATGAGGTTACTGAAAATACCATGGCTTAGGTCAGGCACACCTTAGCCCTCAAATTGGCATCTTTGCTTTTGAACACTTTTCAAAGTGGTCTTGTGCAGCAGATTTGCCTAACACAATACGTCATTTAATTTCTTGACTGCTGCTTCACTGAATATTGGTGGTTGCTACGAGCATATCACTATATTATTTCTTGGTCCAGTGGCAAAGATTTTGCTTCTTTACAATTGAGGTGGAACCCATACAGAAGGCTGTGGTCTTTGATCTTAACCAGTAAGTATTTTATGTCCTCTTGGCTTTCAGCAAGCAAAGTTGTATCATCAGCATATCGCAAGTTGTTAACGGGTCTTCCTCAAATCCTGATGCCACGTTTTCATCATATAATTGAGCTTCTTGGATTATTTGTTC